TATATATATATATATATATATATATATATATTTTATATCTTATCATTACCTTCAATTAGTTGTCCTAACATGATTAAATAACTAAAGAATATTAAGATGATTAAGGTAACAAAATATTTTAAATCAAGATATTTAAATTATTTATAAGTTCATAATTTAATTAAGTAATGTGTTTATTAATTTATATAATAAGGTAAATTTGTGTTTTTAATCTATTTTTTTTAATTTTAATATATTATGAATACTGTTTTTTTATTGACTATAATATTATTCATACTTTTTCAAGTCACTGATTTACTTTAAATATTATATTTTAAATATATATGAAACTTATTTATATACTTATAATTTACTTTTAATATTATATAGTGTCTTTGTAGACTTAATTATTTATGTGATATATTATAAATCAATAAATTATATTATAATTTGACGAAATTGATGAATTGTAATGTAAAAATGACAAACAAGTATTAAAATTACATTTTAAGCATCTAAGAAAATTATAATATTTATAAAAAAAATTACAATGTTAAAAGTAAATTAATAAATTGAAAAGTAGGAACAATATTAAAAATAATAAATATTGTTGTTCATAATATATTAAAAAAATAAAAAGATTATAAAAAAAAATTATATTAACTGTCTTATTCTTATAAAATAACAAATACATTATTTAATTAAATTATCGACCTTAAGATAGTCAAATTATCTTAATTCAAAATATCATTTTTTACCTTAATTTTCTTTAACACTAGACTAATTATAATTAATGGTAGGACTAAAAAAAGTAGTAAGAAAATGTAACAAAGATCTAAAACTAACAATTTTGTTTTTGTAAGGATTAAAACGAGATAGAGACATTTTTGCAAGGACTTGAAAAATATTTTAAGCCTTAATACAATAAGCATATATAAGCCTATATTGTGATGCCTCTAGACACACGATTTCAATCCAATATGTCTCTATCTTTCCTCCCTTTTAACATGGTATTAAGAATCTAAGAGAGGTAAACCCTTCAATTGGCTACTTGCTACACTCACTATCTTATAATAAGCACGTCAGTACTTGAAAAATGAGAAAAGTTGTGCAAAATTTAGCACAACCGTGCTTAGAGGCAACATGCCCATGCTGAACCTTATTTGGCCAAGCATGATCTTCTAACATGCCCATGCTGAACCTTATTTGGCCAAGCATGATCGTTCTATGGAGTGACATAGTCATGCACAATTATGTGAGCAATGTGTTATTTTTCTTGTATTGGTATTCTTACCTTTGGAATTATGGGAGTAGATAATGTAATTTTTATGAATGAAATAGAAGAGAATGTAAAACAAGAATACAATGTTTTTAAAGATTAATAATTTAAGAGATGGTGAATATGAGTCATGTGAAGGAATTATTTGTAATGTGATATATGTGTATTGAGCAAGAAGTATGAAATTGTGTTAAGTCTAAGTTGTTACTTAGTCTTGCGTTAAGTCTAAGTAGAGACACTCAGTCGCCCGTTAAGTATAGGCATTTATTAGACAGATGTTAAGTCTAGGTCATAGGCTTAGCCATGTGTTATGTGTTGTATATTGTATTACAAAAAGGAAGAAGTCTTATATCGATTGCTTTTGGAGAATGGTTTATATATCAAGTTGTGTTATAGGCATACTAAGAGGCTAACAATAATGAAGAGGCTCGCATGCATGTATATGGGCCAAATGGATATGTTGTAGTGCAAATCAATCGATTTGCCCCCCCCCCCCTTATGCGCAAGATACATGGTTTTTTTTTTGTAGTTTTTACATCTTTTTAAATTATTTTTTAGAGTAACAATTTTAGCATCTCCAGGAATTCATTACTCATACCTTTTTAATGATGGTTAGGATTTGAGTCACAATCGATCAAGATTTTAGCCACATTAATGGTTAATTATCCTTTATTAGCTTTGATTGTTTTTTAATTCATGCAATGTTGAAAGGGAAAGGAATACCGAGCACAAATATCTCTTCTCTCTTTTTACTCTAGGTTCTGAGCTTTTTTGATTGCTAATTTTGTAGCCTCAGTTACAAAACTGAGACATTCTTATTGTATCTTGGGGGCTTGTTGATATTGTAGATAAGTCCTTTAGGATAGTGCTAAACATGTCTCAAGAAATTCATCTATTCTCAATTATTTTTACTACAATCTAAAGAACTTATAAATGGTTATCAACATGATTCTCAACCTGCCAACCACTCTTGTTGTTGCCATTGTTGCCTTGACATACGCGAAGCCATTACCCGATGTCTCCAAAATCAATGTCTTTGCTAGTCAAAACTTTCGTTGGTGGTAGGAATGTGTTCATACCTTGCTCGATATGTACAGAGTTGTGTTCACTCTTACCACTTTAAAACCAAATTTTGAGACAACTGCCAAACATATTGAAGATTGGAACCAAGCTAATAAGGTATGTCGACGTCACACTTTATTGAGTGCATTATCTAATGATTTGTTCGATGTGTACTGTTCCTACAACAAAAGCAAGGAAATTTAGGAATCTCTCATCCTCAAATACACTACTGAGGACGTGGTTAGGCAACAGTTCATCATTGGCAACTACTATTGTTGGACGATGATTGATGACAAAGACATCAAAAGTCATATCAACTAGTACCATAAGCTACTTGAAGATTTGAAGTTTGAAAATATCACACTGTTCGATGAGTTTGTATCCTAACTACTGATTGAAAAGTTGTCTGAATCATGGATGAACTATAAACAATAGTTGGAATACAAACATAAACAAATTTCATTATGTACCTGATCACTCATATCATCATAAAAGATACCAACAAGAAATAATGTGTTGTTGCAAGATTGAAGGCACTATCTACTAAAAGCAAATATTATACAAGATAAACCAACTTGGAAATGGTATGATAACAAATCTAATCATAATGGAAAAAAGAAAAATCATAATAATGTCCCACAAAATGTTGCACCTAACCCTTCCTTTAAGAAAAATGGAAACTGTTATGTGTGTGGAAAGCTAGGACATCATGCATCTCAATGCAGATATAAAATGACGAGATTTGACAATCCTTCTAAGCCTAGGGCCAACCTAGTTAAAGGAGATTATATTATTGTTGCATTATTTCTTAAGTAAATGTTATGACCAATGTAAGCAAGTGGGTAGTTGATTTTGGAGCTACCAGACATATCTGTGCAAACAAAAATGTGTTTACCTCCTACACTCCTATGGAGAATGAAAAAGAAAATGTGTACCTTGGTGACTCTAGTACTACTCTAAATCTAAGGAAAGAAAAGGTTCTTCTAAAGATCACATCTAGGAAGACCCTGACTTTAAGTGATGTGTTGCATGTGATGACTATAGTTAATCTAATTTTTGTAGCATAATAAAATAAGGATGGGGTTAAAGTTTCTTTCGAATTTGACAAAATTGTTAAGACTAAGAATAATGTGTAGGGATATTATGATCAAGGACTGTTTGTCTTGAACCTTTCAAAAATTATGAATGAATATACTTTTTCAGTGTTAATTGATTCGTATGACATGTGACATGCTAGATTAGGACTAGGGATGACAATAGGACAACGCGTGTGCGAGTAATATCCCCTTGCTACCCACTCAGTTAGATAAATATCCTTCTTGTACTCGTCCTCATATCCGTGTGAGTATTCATTAAGAGGGTACTTACATATTTTTTTTAATATCCATGATACCTAAGGATATCCATGGATATTTATGTTTCAAAAATAAATATTTTTTTAAAACCATTTTAATAATTATATTTATTTATTATAACAATTTTTTTCCAAAAATAATAGTTCAAAAGTCAAAACTTAAATTATTCAAATAATATACATAATTTTATTAATCAAGATTCTTCAGTTTAAAAACTAAATTTAATTCTTAAAGTACTTTATTCCCATAAACTTAAAAAATTTAATATGTAGTTATGTAATTAAATATTAACGAGTATCCACAGGTATAAATATTATGATATACGTACCCACCCGTTAGCATGTGGGTATACAAAAATACTTGTACCCATTACGCGCATTTACTCATTTACAATATTCATTTTTCACTCGTGGCAGATTATATCCGTGATTATCCATGGGTACGAATTTTTTTGATATCCTTAATTAGGACATACAAATTCTTCTTATACTATTAAATTACAAAGTTTGGCATAATGAATTTGCATGATACAAATATTAAAAAAATGTGATGTTTGTGTTGAATCAAAGTTAGCTAAGACATCTTATCCTTTTGT